GTGTCACCTCACCCATAGATTACCCTTTTTTTTCTTTATCTCATAAAAATCATAAAATACAAGATTACAAGTTTTTGGGATGGCAAGATTAGGCTACAAGCAACAGATTGAGATATCTGTAGGCTCTAGGCTACTACATTTGGGCAACTTACCACTTTTTGGGCCATTTTAAAAATAACTGGGGTTGCATTTCAAGATCTGCTTTACTTTTTATAGAACCTATCTGTTAATCTGTCAGGTTCTCACCGGACGTGCTGTTTTCCTTCAGTTTACTCATATTATTAATAATTAATTAATGAAAATAGTATTCTGTACATGTAGCCATATTCTGTTTACTTAATAAATTACATCAAATACATGGCATTTGGCATATTGCACAGAAATATGTAGCCTAAATCTTGGATAATTTGAAGTCATGATTATTTTGTCCCTTGAATTTCAAACTAATGAGGATTTCCTGTATATCTAATTAATGGCATTAATATATAGAATCAAATAATAAAAATATTCAATTATTAAACAAAAATGGTTATTATTATAAAACTTCCATATTCTTGAGTTATGTTCCATCAAATTTCATGAACTTGGGAAATAATAATGTTTGAGAAATAAGATGTTGCATAATATAAGATTTTCAGAAACTTTCCTTTATCAAATATTTTTAATTATTTGATTTTATTAGTAAATTTATTAATAATTAAATATTTTTGATATGATCTATTTTTAACATAAATGCTGCCAATAAATGCTTTGTTGATATATGTTTTTATCAAATCATTAAACTTTATATACTGTAACAACTTAAATTTACCATAGTAAATTTGAAATTCTAAAAAACTTAGAACAGATCTCCATGCCATAACTTCTGCAAAGCAAAGTGAATTCATTATCAGTAATACTAACCTTTATGATTATATTTTGCCAATTGCTGTAATTAAAATCAAATAAAATATATTACTAAACAAACTGAATTTATGATTTATCTATTAGTGATGTTTGATACAAAAATAAAAAGTAATCTATATTTTTGTAAATCCTTCAAGTCTAATATTGCATTCCAGTAATCTGGAAGGGCCCACATTATTTCTCTCTCACTTCCAAAATTTAATCAAGATTTCAAATACTTACAGTAGATTTTGAATTAAAATTTAACACTGATATGTACAAAATAACACCTTTCTTACTTATTCCAGCAATTACTTACATTTTTTTAACCATTATAAAAAGGAGTTTTAGGCAAATAAACAAATTTTCCTACAAACCCCTTTGTTTACAAACACTAGATATACAAAGCTGGATTGAAAAACTAATTATATTAAACTATTACAATAATTATTTTTAATTTTAGTTGGCTGAGGAGAGGCTAATGCCCAAAATGCGACTTGTAACTAGCGTCCAACTGAATAAAGAGATGAATAATCTGCCAAATGTTTAAAGGAGTCACTTTATTGTGTCTGTATAAAGCAAATTATTTTTAAACTAGATAAAATTATTTCTGCCAAAATGATAGAATTAACACGAACTCTGTAATAGGACCCATATCTGTAGAAATCTATGAATTCAATAGACAATACACTGGCTTATTTAGTCTTTATGGTATGATATGTGGATGACATTTGATTCAGAAAAAATAAACAAACTTAAAATTCAAAACTTTGCAAATAACTTACAGAAATAGATTCAATTTGAAAGAAACTTGAAAATAGAGGATTTATATACTACTAGGTATAATAATAAATAGAAGCACTACAGGAGTTAAATTTAAAAAATATGAAAAAACTGTATTACTAATAAATCTATAAACTATATGTCACATTGTCCTTTAGACATAAAAAAGAATAACTTCATTACAGCTTTACGGAAAATTTACACATGTATAACAGATTAAAAAAATAGACTAGAAGAGCAAAGAAAGTTGAAAACAATATTCTTGCTGAATGGACATCCTAACAGAATAATAGAAATGTTAATAAGAGAATATATAGAAAACAGTTATAAGGTAAAATTTAAAGAAGAATTAAAATATATTTCCTTTCATACATTAAAAATAACTTCAAGAATTATAAAAAAAAAAATTTGTAGAAAGTATTCTATAAAATTAGCAGAAAACTTAATAAATTTAAAGAATTTATATTTGTTAAACAAGATAAAAATAAACTTTTGGCACTTTTTGTGAAGTTGAGCATTCTTTGAGTGATGGTACTGTGCAAATTCATTCTAGCATAAAATATAGGATGAAATATACTAAAAAATAAACTGGAAAAAATCAGATGTCATATACAAGGCGACCCCCATATAACACTGTTGATAATTCCGTTTTATATGAATTCCATGTTGTACGAGTCACTTAGATTTTACAAATACTTGAGCCGTTCACAGTCTGATACATGTATTTGTAAAATCTAAGTGACTCATACAATATGGAATTCATATAAAATGGAATAATCGACAGTGTTATAGGGGGGTTGACTGTTACAAGATATCCTGTACATGCAAAGATAAAGTATATTATATCAGAGAAATTAGAAGAGTATTAGAGAAGAGGATAAAGAAACATGCAGCATCAACTCTTAAAAAAAAATACCAAATCACCTTGGTTTATATCAATACATTGTAGTTAAAATAATTGTACAATTAATAATGATATTAATATTTTATTTTTATAACATGTATATTTACAGAAATTTAAAAAACATATTGCAATTAAAAATAATGGTAACTTAATTTGAACAATGGAATGTTGGTAGATGACATATGGAATGGCATTGTATATACAAATAAAAGTACAGTGTTATGCAATGCAGGATGATTTTAACTGTGATTGATGTAAGGTTACTAAGAAAAATCGAAATTGTCGCAGAGTACACGTAAGTTTCTTTGTTTTTTAAATTTTACATGTTTTAATAACTGTAAATTTAAAACAGTTTTTTATTATCTGTAGACTGAGGAGAGATTGGTACAAACTCTGATCCAAAATGCATATTGATAAAGATCTGTGAATAAAAATTGCATCTGAGTGGTTCTTGACCTCTGGTGAATGCTGGATTGGAAAGATATAACAAATTTGCTTATTTGACTACAAATTTTAGTGGTTACAAAAATAAGAAATTGTATCTGGCAAATATTGCAGATTTTAGCTTTATATTATTCCAACAATGTTTATGCTGAATTACAAATGTTTTCAGCCACATTCAGAGGCCTTCTTTAAGTAAAAAAACTGTTCCATTTATCAAATTTTATTGTATTATTTTTTTTATATTGATTCTTATTTTAATATTAATTTTCTACTTTATTTTACAATTTTAAATTAATCAATGTTGGTTAATTTAGAATGTAACTTTTTAAAAATCAAATTCATAATATCTGTAAAATGTTTCTCTGTTTTTCAAATGTTTGATAAATGGAATGGGTTTTTAATTGAAGAAGGCCTCTGCAGCCAGAAATGTTTGTAATTCAGAATAAATGTTGCTAGAATAAGTAAGGAAGATGTTATTTTGTGCATATCAGTGTTAATTGAAAAGTTCTAGTCTATTAATTAACTTTATGAGTTAAAATTTCATTGTAATCTGCATATATTTTGAGACTAGTTATATATTTATTAAATATTTTACTAATTACTTTTGTGTTTATAATTATTTGAGATGAAATTGATTTCTATTTCACATGATAATAATGGCAGCATATCCAGTTCTGTTATAGTGTGGTTCTATTTTGTCTTTTGACATTTACTTTCATAATTTTTTAATTAAAATTTTTACATTTCATAATTTTTTATCCCAAGTATCCATCTTATGCATAGCCAATCAATGCAATTAATTTAAAATCATTCTTTGTTTTATAAACATAGAGGCTGTCCATAAATTATGTAATGTAGATAGGGGTGGGTGGGTATGCAGATAATTGTCATGATGCATTCATTACAAGGGGGTGGAATATTTACAAAAATGTTAGGTAATGCTAGGGTGTCAACTCTCACGTAACAGAATGATTCATTTTTGTTTCTGAACAGCTGTATAGCAAACTATACAGTTTATATCACTGTGTTATATGTAATTAATAAAATAATGCAAATTCAGCACACCATGCCATGTATTATTCCTTAGTATAATTAAGGTGGTTGTTTGAATATATATGTTATGCAATTCTGGGGCAGGTCCATGTGACGTGTTATGGAGTGCTACAGCAGGTGAAAAGATAGTTAAAAAGTATAAAACAGTGTTACATAATTTACAGACAATCCAGTATACTGATTCTTAAAGATTTTTATAATTAATTAACTGCAACAAAAACTAATACAATCCACATTGTAACAGAAAAGGAATTTAATACAGACTATTTCATGTATATATATTAGCAGCATGATTGCACATAATACCAACTAGTTTATTAAAATAATAAAAGAAGTAACTTTCTGAAAATATTAAAATTTTAATTTTGATTTTTTTACCAGTACTATAAAACAAAAGCATAAAATATATTGTCTTATTCCTTATTTTGAACTTACTTTAGGTTCTATATATCTGCAAATAATTGGATTCAATCCCAGAGATTAAACATTCAATTTAATACATCAAAAGAAAAAAAAAAAAAAAATCAAAGCTTTCTTTTTCTTTTCAGTATTATCATTTTCAATAATTTACGATAATCTCTCTAAATTTTCATTTGACAAAGTTCCATAACATGATTTAATTAACTTCACAATGCCAATTGTATGCAATCAGATCATTTACCTCCAATTCAAATAATTGATTATAATTTTTTCTTTTATGATCTGGAGTGATGTGATTTCAGATTTAATAATATAATGAAATATAAATATTTCTTCCCATATTATTATTAACATTATTTCCTATTGATTCAAATCACTAACACTCAAAATTTTAGAATGCAAATAGAAAATTATTGGAAACAGAATACTCATAAAAATATGGAAGTTTTATTGTACAAAGAATTTTTACCTATTTTCTCATTTATAATAATGTGATAAAGAAACTACTAACCTCGTTGCACTTAAATAATCTTCAGATATAATGAGTGCATATGGATTCTTTTTCTTTTCTAAAATTTAAAAAATTCAAATTTAAAATTTATTGTAATTTATTTCTATTATACATTTCTTTCAAAATTAAAAATTTTACATCAAGTAATTTTTGGGATATAAAATAAAAAAGAATAAATGATTTTATTAAGTAGAGGAAGTTAAAATAACTTATAAACTAAATAGAATATAATTAACAATAAATCCAAGTTAATGCTTCAAAACTGAACAAGAGAAGTACAGAGTTTTCCAAAGAGAATGCTACCATTTTAAATGATTGTAATTATGTTAATTATTATCTGAGAACATTGTTATGTACATTAAAAGATTGGAAAACTTCCAATTTTCATATTTGCCCATTACAATTTCTGAATGGGTGTACCTTGTTGCATGGAACACATCCAACCAATACTCAAATTCTTCCTACGCTTGCTATGGCATATTTATTGCTCTCACAGCAACCACAATTCCACAGCTCCATCAGATTACTCACATTGAACAATGTTGAGTGATTCAATTGCAGAGCACAAAATATCTTCTTTGTTGCAAAATTGCTATTTATAGTTCTTCCTAGAGGAGGCAGATAACAAAAAAATTGAATTCAGACAAGAGATAAAACTTGGACAGTTACTCTATTTATTGGTATATGTCATATACTTCTTCAATAATAATTAACATAATTACAGTTATTTAAAATGGACACATTTATTTTGGAAGACCCTATATTTGGTGTCATGTATGTGGTGGCTAGTTCACTGAGATAGTAAAAACTTGCTATTCTAATGTACCTTATTTCAGTTTAAGTTAGAATTTCATAAATTTCAATGCATAGTTTGAGACAAATACAAGATGTGACAATTTAATTCCAGGACTAGTTGTGTAGCACTGTAGTGTCAGCATGCAGAAACTTGTCTAAGCTTGTCATAATAGTTCAACCATCTGGCTATTTGTCTGCAAAGATTTGTTCGTGTCTCATAACTCGTTTTTTTTCTGTACTCCATTCACATATTGCTGTGAGAAAGTGCTGTCATGTTTTTGTCATGGAACAAAAAGTGAACATTAAGTTTTGTTACAAGTTGGGTAAATGTGCAACAGAGACATATGCCCTAATCAAGCAAGTTTATGGGAATGATGACCTATCTTGCTCTCAAGTTTTCAAGTGGTTTGCGTGTTTCAGGGATGGTCAGGAAGACCTTGAAGACGATGCTCGCCCTGGACGACCGCAATCAGTTTAAACACCAGAAAACATCGAAAAAATCAGAGACTTGCTGCGATATGACCGTCGAATATCTATCCGGATGACAGTGGAGACAACTTGTTTAATCACCACTGAAGATTTGGGCAAAAGAAAAATCTACTCCCGCTTCATTCCGCACTATCTCACTGAGGACCAAAAGCATCTCTGGCCGGAAGCATGTCAACAGTTTATTCAAGATGTTGACGATGACCCCTCTTTACTGGATTCCGAAAATCAAAATCACATTGAAGGGACAAAGATTCGACGACCTGGAGGACATACAGTGCAGTGTGACCAAGGAATTGAGAGCTGTCAACAGAAGTGACTTTGCTAAGTGTTTCAAGAACTCATACAAGCGTTGTGAGAAGTGCATTGCCCTCCAGGGGGATTACTTTGAAACATGTTAAAAGGGTTTTTCATTATAAGTTCTTTGTGTTTTTTAATTACCCCAGTCCTGGAATTTAATTGTCACACCTTGTATATAGGTTCCAATTTCTCACTACCAGATTCTACCATTACAGCATTAAAAAAAATCTTTTTGTGGAGCAGAGTAGAAAGAATTTAAAAAAAGACATATATTATGTTTTTTCAGAATTAAAAACAATTCATAAAATTTACATTTGTCCAAAAACTATTTAAAATACAGTTTATTCTAATCAAGTAAACAGATCTTATAGAATGTATTATAAAAAATTTTCATACTAAAAACAAAACAAAAGTTAAAACATTGTATTTAATAAAATCAATGGTCTCTTTCAATTTCTTTTCTATTTTAAAATAAATTTAATGACTATAGATTGTGAAAGTTATTTACTCATTACGTAAAACAAAAATCTAACTCCGTGACCGTGTAAGTAACCGAACTTCCTTAACAATCATAGATTTGTTAAGGAAGCTCCTCGAACGTAAATCCAATTCGAGCCGCTCTTATCGAGGCAAAAACTTTCTAGAAACCAAAGCACTTCCGAACTATCAATTACCAAATTTAATCGATTGTGTCGAACCATAACGCTCCATGCGGATTCCAAACAACACGTATTTACATATTGCCTTAAATACTAAGCAAGGTGATGCTTTACATTTTCATTCATAATGCATATGAATCCATAAAACAATTTGCAGTGTAAAAAATCTGACAAAAATCATGTATAAAAGTAAATATTTGATGTTTTCGTGGTAATATAAATACCGAACTTAGCTTATTTTTAGAATACGAGAAAAGTTCACTCACTTCTTTCGGATAACTTTCGATTTTCGTCAGCCAAATAGGGAAATCTGAAGAGTAAACGATCTCCTTTGCTTCCTGATTTAACGAGAAACACTCCTAAAGGACAAGCTTCGTCCATTCCACAAAACGGGAAAAAAACTGTAACCGTGTATCGTTTATCTAAAGTCTTAACGCGTTTTATACCAATCACGTCTGAAAAATAAAAATACGATATCGATAACCAATCAAATATCGAGATTTAAAAAATGTACCTGTTACTGCAAGTAACGAATGTTACTCATCGATGTTTGTAAATACTGAAGCGCCCTCTGCCATCTTCATCATTTTTTGATTGTTTGTGTAGTTACGGCGACGCAATACTTTGGCGATCTGCCTAGGCCCTAGGGGAATGCCTTCCGGGAGGTGTTTTTAAGGGTAACCGGCCCCTATTCAGGCGTTATAGACATGGAGAAAACGCGGAAAACTCTACGTGGCCGTCCTGGCAAGGCGCGAATCCACGACCGAACTCCCAGTGTTCAAGGTACGAAGACCGCTTGGCCACTGGTGGGCCTTTTTGAAGTTTTAAACTTTTACCAGATTAAAAGTTTTTTAAAATCTTGTTTAAAATTATATACACGTAATTAAATTAACGTCATTCGCAATTATGTATTTTCTTTCGTGTTTAATTTATAAAATGGAAAAAAATAAATTGGTACAGTACTTCTTTATTTTTTTAATTCTTTCCGCTTTGTAGACACTAAGAGGGCCTCTCTTAACACCCGGCCATCCCATTGTGGGCTGGCCGGATGTTGAGAGAGGGGACCTGACATATCTAGACGACCCACTACCCGCTAGATTGTTCGATCCGTCCGGATTCGATCCCGGGTCCCGCTCTAAGGAACCCGGGATCGAATAGGCTACCACCTTGATCGTTCGGGCATCAGGCTGAATAAACGAAGTTGACAAATTTAGAACTTCGTGCAAATAAATCACTTTAATTACATTATAATGAAGTTAAATCTAATATTCATTCATATACAGAGGGGTGCAAAAGTAGGTATACAGTTGTTATTTGGGGAAAAAACATACAGAGAGAAAATAGGAAGATAAAACATTTATTTTTATACACACAAATAAGGAATACGAAATAATAAAAGATAATAAAAAATAATAATAATAAACACCAAGCATTTGTATTCCCCCGATTCTCAACTTTATACAGTAAAGCCTGTCTATGGCGACCACCCACGGTTCCTTCAAAAAGTGGTCTTTTGGACAGGTGGTCTTCCAATACAGGTGGTGCTGTAATACCGTATTTCCTTACGTATTTTGCGCACTTTTTAGCCATTTCTACTAAGCAAAACTCGCGGTGAGCAAAAATAACCGAATTTTTTCAACGATAGGGCTATATTGGTATTGTATTTTATTCTTATCGGATAACTCGATTTACAGGAGTCGTCGTGATTTTATAAGACAGATTTAATACCAATATTTTAAAGATTAATACAATATCGCATTTTCTCTATTGTAATGCACATTTTCTTTTTTCCGATTTAATTCAACTTGGTTCTTTTCGTTCGCTCCTCAGTTACGTGTATTACGTCATCGATATACAAGCGCGTAATATCTCTACATCACTTTTGTTTTGGTACTCGTTAGTTTAATCTTATTTTAACTTTAAAAATATCGTATTTTTTAAATATTTTCTTAAGTACAATAAGAAAAATTACTAATTAATAATAAAACGATTTTATTATTTTTTCTCATTATACGATTTCATTACATCCGCGATTGTCATTGTGGAATCGAAAAAGGAAGGTTGCCTGTAAAACTGATTTTTGCATTAAAGTTATCACAACAGCAATTAGCGGCGAAGTTTAACTGTGGGAAAACGAAATTTATTTTATCGTAGACCTTCATTATTTTCCTTGGGGGTATAAAATATTGTACACGATACAATTAATCGGCTGATCTCATCGTTTGATAACTTTTTTTTTGAAGCTCATATACAGTAGGTGTGCGATAAATAGTTTCTGTATCAACCTACCTTATTTCCACGATATGTTTAGAAAAATAATATTCAAGTAATTTTCGCACGCAAAATAATCAAAAAACAATAAACGTATTAACACGATCTTCTAACGACAGCACTTTGCATTTCTTTCGTTTTTCGGACAATTTCGAAAAACTGAAATGAATTTCTTTTGTTGCTAGGCTAATTTATTAATACCTACACCTAATTTCAAGGATAGGAGAAGTGCCCGAGGTGAGTTCGAACCAGAGTTTAGACTAATTCATTATATTAGAAGGGGGAAACATTGTTGAGATGGGTTCGAACAATAGTTTAGACCAGATATATTCGCGGAAGTGGTCATTTATTACAGTTGTTGTATGTTGTTTCGGACCAAAAATCGATGCCCGCGGTCGCGTTACACAGGTGGTCGTTTAATATAGATAATTTATATGAAGACTCTGTGGATAAAGTATTCGGTGCCAGAAATTTTTGCCCGTTTTGACAGGTGCCCATCGAATGGAGGTGGTCGCCTAAGCAGTTTTCACTGTACCTACTTTTGCACCCCCCTGTATAAGCGGCCGGATGGCCGAGAGATCAATTCTATACAAGAGTGACTTGAAATGGGACAAGAGCAGACAAATTCATATAAAAGACGGAAAGTAAATTATTTGAAATCGGGCCCACCGGTTGCCGAGTGGACTCCGTTTCCGCTCTTACTGGCGGTAACCAGACCCTAAACACCGGAGTTCGATCGGAGGTTCGCGCCTCACTCGGACAAGCTGGCAGCGAAAGTTTCTCTGGGTTTTCCTCCTTGCCAATGACGCTTGAGTAGGGTCCAGTTTTCCCTCCTTCGATAGAGGAGAGTTGTAGTATTCGCTTTTCACTCCGGAATAACAGAGGGGAAGAGGTGGTCTTATCGAAGACGGCCCACGTGAGAAGGGGGGACAGAATGCATTCCGAGGGGAAGCTGGCCCCTATTCAGGCGTCATTGGCAAGGAGGAAAACCCGGAAAAACTCCCACTGCCAGCTCAATCCATTTTTGCGAAAATAGTAACAAAATCATTTGTTTTAGTCGTATGAAGCACACCGAGTGAGGCGCGAACCCCCGATCGAACTCCGGTGTTTAAGGTCGGGTCACCACAATCAAGAGCGGAGACGGAGTCCACTCAGCCACCGGTGGGCCCCCTTTCTCGCGTTGGCCGTCTCCTATAAGGCCAGCTTTGGTCGCCTTGTGACTTCTCTCCTGTTGTCTTCGATAAGGTCGCCGTGCGATCTTCCTCTCTGTTCTTCCGGAGTGAAAAGCGAAGGCTGCAACACTCCTCTATCGAAATGAGAAGTAAAGTATTTTCAAAATAATGTAAGTACAGTAATTTGAAAACATTTTTATCGTCTAATTTTAGATGTTTATTTTATAAAACGCATTCACAAAGAAAAAAATATCTACAAATGCCTACATGCGCAATATTTAATTTCGTTTAATTTTAAGAGTTTACGACCACTGTGCTGGGTGAGACATTGTTGAAACAAAAAAGTTATGCATTCCACCACGTACATAAACAATGTCGTAATTCGCCAGGTGCAAATCAGCAAATTCGTAAAATTTTTGTTTATTTTGAACAATCCGGATAATGGAGGTTCTACTGTATATATATACAGGTAACCCCCGTATAACACGGTGGTTACGTTCCAAAAAATTGCCGTGTTATGCGAATCCGTGTTACACGAAACAAAGAACTAGTACGAAAAGGAGAGTTAGGTTCCAAAAATTAAAAAACATGCTATTATATTTTCATTATTAAGATAAATATCTTTATTAAAATTTTCTTAAGTGATACATATTAATATAAATTAAACAATGTTTTCTTCGTCATCACTAAGAGCACTATTAATTAACCGAGAGCGTTTTCTTCTTGGCAAGTTATCCTTATCCTCTGAGCATTTTTCTGCATTATCTTCAGCTCCATGCTTTACCTTTTGCAAAAAGTATGTAATTTTAGATTGCTTGCTTCTAGTTAAAAGATCTTTATAAATTTCCTTATATGGTGCTAAGCACTTATGAAGAATAAAGCAAGTATGGAATAAGGGAAAAACATTCGGCAACATCAGAAGCAGAAGCGTCGCGATCTGGCAACATTGAAACAAGTTTCGAGAAGGACCACGTGTATCGACAGAAGGCGAGAAGAGAAAATTTACATACTTAAGTACTAATAGTTCACGAAAATAATAATTTTCGTGAACTATTATTACTTAAGTACGTAAAAATTATTACATTTCCTGTTGTACGAGGGTTTTACCCAATTCTCGAACCGTGTCAGAGTGAATCCGTGCTATAGAAGTGCCGTGTTATACGGGGGTTACCTGTATATAAGACGGAAAGCTGCAACCACACACGTGACTACTCATCTCTGACGTGTTCCTGATGACTTATTCTTTTTGCGAAGAATTCGCTGAACTTTAGAGACATCATTAACAGAAATATTAAAACTTCATTCCATTCTAAATATGGATTAAAATCAACATATAATAACGTATGATAATACGATAAATAACTAATAATTCTGTTCTACTTTTAAATGGCCTAATCTCTCATGTCGTAAACAAAATTGTATAATATTTATTTACATCAAGACATTAGACATCTTATGTTGCGTCTGATTAATATTTATCATCATCATACTATATATCATGATAGAATTATTGTCGTTAGCGAGCGGTTTTTCCTTTGTTGCTTCATATAGTCAATAATAATAAGTCATTTCTAATTACAATAAAAATCTATAGTGTATTATGATCTATCGCGTTATGTTTCTAAAGTTCAGAGAATTCTTCGCAAAAAGAATAAGTTATCAGGGACACTGACGTCAGAGATGAGTAGTTACGTGACCGAATATCACCGACAAATGTCACGTGACACGCTTCGTACGCGTCCACCGTCCGATGTAACGCTCCGCGACGAAAACAAGCTTAAGCAATGGTGTCTTCGAACGGGTACACTCGATAAGTATTCCGACAATTTTTTGTTCATAGCATATTTTATATCGATCATTTCCAACAAATTATACGTATTTTGGAAATATTCGAGTGAAATTAGTCTAGATTTAGTTAATTTTATGGAAGAAAACCTCTCAAATAGCCGTACCCCCTAATCAGCACAAGTGCTTTTAACTTTTCATTGGGTAGTTTTGCTCTATGACAAAACTACCCAATGAAAACTCCCAATATAATAAGACACCAACCGAATGCCGTAAATTAATCGGGCTATTTTAATGCTAAATTCTAAATAAATTACGTTTTCTAAATAAAAAAAAAAAAAAAAAAAACTCCCAATTGCATTGTATTGTGGTAGAATTTGAGCTTCATGCAATTAATGTGTTTATTATAACACAACTTTCAAATTATCACCATTCAAACAGATCACTTTGTATATTGGATTACAATGTAAAATTAATCTGATATTT